ATTGAGTTTTATCAAGCCCGAATATCTAGGGCCTTTAACAAAAGAGTCCGACAGAGAAGCTTCAAGGAAGGAGATCTGGTCCTCGCTGCTCGCCGACCGATAATCCTCAACTCCAAGAAGAAAGGTAAATTTGAACCCAAATGGGAAGGGCCGTTTGTGATAGACACAGTCTACTCAAACGGCGCATATCGCCTGATTACCCAAGAAGGCGCCAGGCAATTAATGCTAATAAATGAGAAGTTCCTGAAAAAGTACTATCCCTAGTACATTCAGGATAATCCATTTACCGGGAAGTTCCTTGAAGAATATTGCACTTAATATTCTAGAGGATAACCCAGAATCATTTTTCACCACCAAAATCCCTCACTGATCAATTTCAACTGACAGTGGGTCCACCAAAAATGTCTTTCTGGCCCTCTTGACTCTCTCCATGAACAAGAGGTCCGCTTTCATTTCGGAGTCCCCTTTCGATAAACGAAAGAACTCCCTTCTTCTTCTCTTTGGTTAAGTCCTCTCATGGATATAACCGAAGTTGAAGTTTCACTTTGATAAACGAAGAGCTCATTTTTCAGTTTAGATAACCAATCCTATAAAAGGCAAGTTTATCTAGATTTTCCAGATTCTCGGAGTGGAGACCCCACTCCTAGTCTCTTTTACGCTGGAAATAGAATATAAAATTCTTCCTTTCCAGAATCAAGTGACAGAATATAAAATTCTTCCTTCCTTGTTTTCGGGTTTGCCTTCACCCTAAAAGAAGACCGGGAAACAGAATATAAAATTCTTCCTTTCCCGCACCGATCTTTTCCAAAATTTATCAATTTAAGATTCATCCTAGGAAGTTTATCCCGAATCCTAAGCAGGGATAAGTCTGCGCCTAACACGCGCTGCCGGTTTAGTCTTTTTCCGTAGAAAAAGACACCAGAGTTCGATTCTGGGGTATTCTATCCTGAAACCTAAGCAAGGATAAGTCTGCGCTTAACCCGCGCTGCCGGTTAGTTCTTAACCGTTAAAAAGAACACCCGTTCACATATTCAACATTGTGCAGGTTGTTATTAATAACGCCAAAATCCATGCCTTACACGCGTGGGGAATTTCATCCTGAATCCTAAGAAAGGATATGCCGACACCTAACACGCGTCGCCGGTTTAGTCTTTCTCCGTAGAAAAAGACACCAGAGTTCGATTCTGGGGTATTTTATCCCGAAGCCTAAGTAGGGATAAGTCAGCGTCTAATACACGTTGCTGGGTAGCCTATTCCCATAACAATGGCGAAGTCTACGTATTCGAAGTCGTAGCATCAAGTCTAAGGGACTTCATTCCTTTAGCACAACGTCACATGCAGAACGGATTTAAAATAATCCGCATGTAAGCCCGATTCAAATGGTAATCGGTAAAAGCATGTCAAATCTGTTGAGGGCTGAGGATTTGCCAAAAAATCCTAAGTCAACGTCTGATACACGTTGCTGTTTAGTCTTTTCACGGGAGAAAGACGAAGTCTACGTATTCAATATCGTAGCGCTAAAAGGGTTAACTCTTTTAGCACAACGTCACATGCGGAACGGATTTAGACAATCCGTATGCTAGCCCGATTCAAATGGTAGTCAGTAAAGGCTTATCAAACCCGTTGAAGGCTGGAGGTTAGCCAAAAATCCTAAAGTCAACGCCTAACACGCGTCGCCGGGTAGTCTATTCCCGTGAGAAAGACGAAGTCTACGTATTCAATATCGTAGCACTAAGAGTGTTAATTCTCTTAGCACAACGTCACATGCGGAACGGATTTAGATAATCCGCATGCTAGCCCGACTCAAACAGTAGTCGGTAAAGGCTCATCAAACACGTTGATGGCTGAGGGTTTGCCAAAAATCCTATAAATGCGAGAGTCACTGACGCATCAGCTTCATTAGTTGGTCTCGTGACTTGAGCATCCAACGACGTTCGAAACCCTAGGGTCAACGCCGGTCAACGCATAGCCCTAGGTCAACGCCAGTCAACGCGTTGCGATCAAAAAGTCAACGTACGACGTTCAAAACCCTAAAGTCAACGTACGACGTTCAAAATCCTAAGGTCAATGTCGGACAACGCGTAACTCTAGGTTAACACCAATCAATGCGTTGCAATAAAAAAATCAATACTCCAAAAAGTATACGAGTATAAACTGCTTCTTAAACACCAATCAATGCGTTGCAATAAAAAAATCAATACTCCAAAAAGTATACGAGTATAAACTGCTTCTTAATACTCCAATAAGGTATATGAGATAAATTGCTTCTTAATACTCCAAAAAGTATACGAGTATAAACTGCTTCTTAATACTCCAATAAGGTATATGAGTATAAACTGTTCCCTATTTTTTGAGAAGTTCCTGGAGAATATTTTTTTCTAAAAAATATTCTTAAGGATAACTCAACAACATTACGCCGGACAACCCGTCGCATATATGGACTCAACAATCGATGGTCAGTTCTATGTTGAACCAACAAGCACGAGCTAAAGATCATTCTATGTTGAACCAACAAGCACGAGCTAAAGATCAGAAAATTAGGAACCGACTTCAAATTCGAAATTCTGACAACGGTCAGACAATAAATGGATCAGAAAATTAGGAACCGACTTCAAATTCGAAATTCTGACAACGGTCAGACAATAAATGCAGCACCGGAAACCTTACAGACGTTCGACAAAGCACCGAATGACCTGAAGGATTGAAGGAATCAAGAACAGAAGCCATTCCAAGGTCCCGTTACACCGACTGAAGGTTGGGACAATCATATCCAAAGTATTCCAGACTCTTCTATAAAAGAATGAGACTAAAATACTTTGGAGGGGGTATCTGTAGGCGTATAAAACTGCTTATAGGTCCCTTAGCACAGCTCGGCACAAACCGACGAACCATCGGACGACATATCCAAACACGAGTGTCAGTCCACAACGCCGAAGCCAAGTGACACGCAACGAAGCGGATTAACAAGGCTACGAAGCTGACGAACCGCACGTGAACGACGGAATGAATCCACTCGCGTGCGGATAACGCCTACGGGTTTTTGAGGAATCACGAGTCATCCAACCGAGAGCGACGTCCGCGAATCACGATCGAATCGAAGATCATTTCGGACTTGATTCAGAAGTGGATTTTACTGCCATATCGGAACCAGGTCAACGAATCAGAGTCTAAGTCAACCACACAACCGAATCACGGACAGAACCGAAAGACGGAAAACGACGGAACCCAAATACTTATAGGGGCTCGGCCTTAGCCGAGCCACCTATAGGTGGCTCGGCCAAGAGCCGGCCACCTATAGGTGGCCGACCCAGATCTGTGCGCGGGCACAGTTCAGAGAGCCTATAAATAGGCCCCCCTTGGTTTATTTTCAAAGGTTGGACTTTTTGGAGGCGAAGCCCTACTGGATTCGAAGCTCAGATCTAAAAAAGATTCAAGCTTTGGGACTTTGAAGACTTTCTCATCCAGATCCGGTGCTCGGCGATCGTCAACGCCAAATAAGGCAAGAGTTCGAGAGGAACCGGATCTCAAATCGGATCTCAGATCTACGCAGGCATACTCCGGATCAAAGCTTGGTCTTTGATCCCGAGAACTAAAAAGGCTACTATTTCCTTGGCGAAATAGTACCCTCGGCTATTATTTCCTTGGCGAAATAATACTCGTCATACTGCGTAGATCTGACCGGATCTAGATCTCGCGGTGGTCCACGGATAAACCCCGGCGCAGGCGAAGAACCCACGCAAGCGAGCGACCGCAAAACAGGAGCTCGTGATTTGTTCGACACAAAAGGAGAAAGTTGTAATTTTTCTTTTCTTTTATTTGATTTTCATTGTAACCAGATCTTATAAAAAGACCGGATCTTTGTAACTCAAAAAGCTGTTATTCAAGATGACAATGGAATCAGTGAAGAAAGACACGATTTTTCCCGCGAACACTTACAGGATAACCAAGTCTTGGCAAACATCCTGTTTAGCTCCTCAGCTTATCATCAACCAAAAAAATGCTCGTAATGCGAAGAGAATAGACTAGAATCTATCTATCATCAAATCTACCACAGAAGCCACAAAACACTAGTAATTTAACCGAAGAATGCAACAGACAAACTATATACAATGTCCTAGAATTGTGGTTGAACTTTACATAACCAATTCCAACAGCAGTCTCATAGGTTTTATACTGACAAACATATATTTATACAAATACTTTACAAATTAATTTCCAAACATATATTTATACACACAAAAAATATTGGATATCACATTTGGTATCTAGCATCCGGGGAATTGGTCTTGAGGATCACGTTGATACTCTGAAATCAAAATATAAGTGGATCAAAAGAACAATAGACTGAATATAAGAGGTAATATACAAGGTATAAAATTGAAGAAATGCAACATTATGAAACAACATAAATGCATCATAATAGTATACTTTGTAGGAGACTACGCTGCAATTAAAGGCGAAGCCTCTGTTCTGAGGGTCATAACAATACAGTGGTCATTACCATAATAAGAGAATACAACGAATGAGATAGCAGTAGAATGAACAAACTTGGAACTATTAGCTCGAAGCAAATTACTCTATTTGTTCCATAGAATGTCAACAAATCAAATTGGGAGGATCAAAACATAATTTTCATACAGCTAAATAATTAACCAACAAATGTATGGACTGCAAAAAAGCCAAATTTACAAAATCAAATTCCAATATTTCAAAAACACTAGAAATTCAGAAAACCCTTTCAAAAACCCTAGAAATTCCAATCTTTCAAGCTAATCAAGCAAGCAAACAAACCAAAAAAAAACCCAAATGGGCATTTCACCAAACAAGGAACAAGCATGAAACTAAATCAAGCTAATCAACAAAGAAGCCAAAAAAACACCTAGTTTTCGAGCATTTCATCAAACACATAGTAAGCATGAAACCAAACAAAGTTAGTCAACTATTAAGCAAGCCAACAAATAATTCCAAGTGGGCATTTCATCAAACACATAATGGGCATTTCATCCAAATCGAATGCAGAACATCTCCTCCTTCAACTCCCCATCAGAGAAATTAGGCGCATGCCAAACACAAGACTTATCATTCCCAACATGCTCCTGCATCTTAATCATCGGAAATACTACAAATCAAAAACATTAATCAAGCTTACCCTAAAAAATCAAAACCCTAAACAAGCCAAAATAAAATTCACCATAATGATTTGCGCAAATCGTGAGGGTCTTGGCCTGCCTCATAACCAGCCAAAACCTTTTCGGTCTCCTTGTACTTCAGCAGCCTCACGCTCCCCATACCTTGCTCCTTCCACTGGTTCCCCTCCTTATCGAACCGATACAACTTCGCTTTCCTAGACAAAATCAAGAAAGTTTAGAATAGAAAGTTATCGTGAAACCCTAAAGATGATGAGATCGATGGCAGATCTGAGGAGATTTGTAGGTCGAGGATGGCCTCCTCGTCCTCCTCGCAGTTGGTGACAGCGACCTCCTCGAACTTGATGATCGGGGCGATCTGAGCTCCGGTGTCCTCTTCCTCGTTGGTAGGGGTGCCGTGAGATTCTTCCTCGTCTCTGCGATCGGCGTCAGAGCTCGCCATGACAAAGGATTTGATCGTTTTGAGAGTGAGAGGGAGAGAGGGGGGGGGGGGAACAGGTGGAGATGAGAATGGAGTTTGTACAACTAGGGTTTTAATAAAGGGAAGAGAGGAGTAAGGCAGGGGGAGTTTAGGGTTTATAATTTATTTTTGTGTATATTGTATATATATTGAATGTATTAATGCTTTTTGGGTTGAGAGGCAAATACACATAGTTCTATGGGTTTATGAATACATTTGAAACTAGTTAGGTTTATAAATAAATCAAGGTAAAGCATTAGGCCTAAAGACAAAAACCCCTAAAAATATCTATCTAAACTCACAGAAATATGTTGAAGTAGATAGAACAAGTTTGATAGAGCAGATTAGTTATGTACATATTAAATTATTATATTATATTATAATAGTTTTACTATGTGAATATGGGTTGTAATAAAATATGTTAATTTATATTAGTAAGCATATTTTTAATACATTATAGTAAATATAATATAATATTATGTATAATGTTAATTAACGTGTTAAACATTTATTAAATATATGAACTATAATAATATGTCAATGTTATATATTAAATAGTATAATATTATATTGCATCATAAAATAAATAAAATAAAACATCATATTTTGTTATAATATTTTTATTTTTTATTTTTAATGCAATATATTTATTATATTATATTATCATATTAAATATATTATTATAATATTATTTTAATTATTGTTGATGTTAAGTGATCAAAGAGTCAATTATTTGTGATGGGGGTGGGATTGATGAGAGGCCGCTTCCTTCCCCGAATATACGGTTCTGAGTTTAGTAGCTTAAGCCTGCGCATGGAATAATTTGTGAGAGGACGGGGCTTGGTTCCCTATGGTTCCTCCGACGATCAAGTCAGGTGGTGAACTTGAGTGGGAAAAAATAAAGAACTGTGAGAGTCTTATGTGTAGTACAGTATAATTTGTAGATATTACTTAAAAGATCAGATCTAGAAGTCAGAATCTAGACCTTTTTTATGTTAGAATAGTACATCTATTTATAGTGGTGCTGAAAGGGTAGAATCGTCACTTCGGCCGAGCACATGATGGCGGTGAAGAAGCATGAGCTGACAGTTACATCATCACCTACTTTACACGTGTCGCTCGGCGAGTGGCGGAGATATCACTTCTGCATTAAATGTGAAGTGATCAGAGGCATAGTGGTGCCGATATGGTCCTATGAGTCATGAAGACTATTGAAGCCAGAGGCATGATGGTGCCTGCCAAGCATTAAATGCAATGATGATACATTGTCAGTAGGAGAGACTCGAGGTTGAAGTCATTTAGCTTGGCCGAGAAGTAATGCCTCTCGAGTTGACCCCACAATGGTGTCAAATAGTTGGTCAAACGGGCTCGTAGCGAGTTGTCTTTGACAAGAGGCTCGACAAGTTCCGCCATTCGAGTCAACATAAGGGAATGTCGACTCGATGAGTCAGCTAAGTTGGAATACTTGCGGGTCTTTGGCCGTCAATTTGATTGAGGCATTGCATACAGAAGTACACTTGTCCATTACTGGCAAAGGGCCGCACTTTGGCGATTGAAAACACCATAACAGTTTGTCCCTTTCGCTTGGAGTCGGCTTTAGCCGGATTCGAGTGAAATAAAAGTTGCTGTGGATGGACGTGGGCATGCATTAAATGAGGGAACTGAAAAGTCCCTTTAGATTTTATGTGGCTGACGTCACCACACATTCTTTTTGACTGCCATAACTCTGTTTTTCTTAGCAGATTAGGGGCTATTCGAGGTGGGTGGGCTGCGCCTCGATCTCTGAGATGCTACTTCGTATTTTGATAATTAATTTGGGCCGTTGTCCAGAGCTGGATCTGACGGTTCAGATTCCGGCAGTTGTAAAGTGAGTTGCCTATATATAGAAATAGAGCCATGGAGGTGGCGATATTAGTCTTTTGAAATTCTTTTTAGAGAACTCCAGAGCTTTTCTATCCATCTCTCTTCGGCGATCATTTCTTCATTCTACGATGGCATCAGAACCTGTAGACCGATGAGCTCTTCTGGTGGGGATCCATTCCAAGGTGACTCTGGCACAGAAGAGGACGTTCCATAGGAGGTTTGATATCCCCCAAGAGTATGAGCTGATGGCCCCGACGAGGTCGGAGGCCATTTATGATAATGGGCCAGACCGGGATCCACTCTACCTGAGCTATCTGGAGTGTGGCCTACGGCTGCTCATGCACCCTTTCCTCTAGCAAGTTTTCACGGTGCTAGGGGTATCACTATCTCAAATGAAGCAGAACACTATTGCAATCTTAGTGGGGTTCGTAGTGATCTGCCATTGGTTGGCGATAAAGCCATCATTGCGGGACTTGGACCGGTTGTTGACTATGAAGGTGATCCAGACCGAACCTCACTTCCACTTTCAAATGGTGGGGAAGTTCAGGCTCATCACTGACCTTCCTGACTCGCACAAGGACTGGAAGGAGAAATTTGTATAGGTCGTGGGGGACGACCTGGAGTTGGGGTACTCGAACTGGCCTGAAATAAGGAGGGAGTCATTCATGGAGGGTGACTTGCTCAACGCCGATATGGATGTGCTTAACCAAATCAAGGCATATGTTGGCTCTCGTTAAGTCGACCATCTGCTTGACAACTCGGTCTTGTGGGTTGTTAATGTGTCAGTCGTTCCTCCTTCTGCCAAGGACGAGGAGAGGGCTTTAGTCCTTATCTTAGGGATAGTGAAAGTAGCGATGGTGCCGACTGCTCCTCTGGCTGATCTCCAGGAAGGGCTGTCTGCTAGGCCTGTGAAGCGTCTCCGCTAGAACTTTCCTCCAATAGAGGCTGAGATGGCTGAAGAGGAGCTTACTGCTACCCTCATCCATAGAAGGAGGAGGCCCCGAAGGGATGAACAAAAGCCTCGGGTGATGGTCGAGGTGCTCAAGACCGTCGTCATTCATCTAGACGAGTCGGCCCCAAAAGAACCAGCCGAGGCTCCTCAAGAAGAGGGAGCCGAGGCTAGAGCTCCTGCTGATGTGGGAGGATCGTCCGTCTACCACAGCGAGTCGACTTGTCGTGGGAAGGAGCTGGTCAAGGAGGAGACGTCGCCTCCCGTAGGGCTGGAATATCACTTTCTTCACCGCGTCACCGAGATCAGAGAAGAAGAATGGGAGAGGATGAGGCAATACATCATCAAGACTTCGAAAGAAGGCCCTCGATATGTGTGGGAGCCTAACCCAGAGCATCACCATGAGCATGCTCACTATCTTGACGTCAGGGGGATGGTCCTTGGTTCTCGCACGACTCAGTCGAGGTCGGTCGAGTAGTTCTGGCTGTTAGGTCTCATGTTTATAAGCCCACTATCTAATCTATTCTGATGATTAACAAAAAAATTCCTAACAGTATTTGTCGAGTGTTTATATTTGATTATTAGGTATCCTACACAAAGATCCTACGTTATAGGTTGGATAGACTCGTGTCTACGTAATCATATCCATTGGAGGATGGAAGGAATATTGGAATGAAGCTTTGCATTTCAAGTCAAGTACAAGTTCAAGCTTCATCCGCAACCAAGACGAGCATATCGAAGATCTCTTAGCTTGGATATATTATTTCTTAGATCTTATACTTTGTGTGTTTATGCTTTAATCTTAAATATTACACACATACACGTTTTCGATTTATCTCTTTCAAGTTAAATCAAATAAATATGAAACAAATAGTTACATTTACAAATATACATGCTAGTTTCATATTTATCATCTTTATTTAGAAAATAATATATATATGGATTAAAGACTTGTTTACACTATTTTATGTCTTTTCTCAAGTTTATTAATTTATTAAAAAGTGGTTCAAAACTTGTTTGTATTGATTTCATCAAAATCAAGTTTTGACGATTTCGTATTGTTTAACTGTTTTCAAAATAAATGAGTTTTCACAAAAAAGAAATAAAATTTGAGAAATTCTTTATCTAACATGTTCAATTACTTGTTTATAAACATTTTCCAATTTTTTTATCATTTTTGGAGTTGATTTACAATGTTAAATTGATTTTACAAACTCAAGTGTTTTAGCAATTTTCAGAATCTAGAATATCTATTTTAAAACAGTGAGTTCTCACAAATAGGAAGTGATATTTTATAAATTCTTTCTCCAACATGTTTATCTACGTGTAGAAACTTTCCTCAAATTTCATGATTTTTGGAGTTGATTTTCTATTTTTAATTGATTTTATAAAATCAGATACGTAAAATTTCAGAATTTCGTGCATGTGATCAGTTATTTAGATTTTACAAAATCAGATATGCAAACTTTCCTCAACACTTAGATTTTGTTATGGAAGTTTAGAACAAGTTAGATTTTGTTATGGAAGTTTAGAACAAATTTTACAAGTTTTTGAGAGTTTGTTTAAGAAGGTTAAGTGTGTTTTGGTTTATGCTAAAGTAGTTTACAAGAAAAGGAGATCAAATTCATTTTGGGTATTCAACTTCAATTCTCTATCTCTCTTGATCTTAGAGAAGTTCTCTTAAACTCTTGATATGAGTCGTCGTGCGAGCACCTTTAATCGCGGAATTATCAAAGGTGGGTTGAGAAGAGGATGGCAGAAACACAAGAATAATTTAATATGTGGCGAAGAAAAATACCCTCTCTAGATTATGATATGAAAAGATTACAATCTCTCTCTCACAATCTCACTAGAATCGAGAACAAACTCTTAATTCTCTCTAAACCCTAATCTCTCTTGATTAAAACCTTTCTTTGATTACATCTAATTGGTTAGAAACCTTAAACAATCCCTTATATAGGTGTAACAACGTGGATGACAAAGTGGTAAATAACCAAACCTAAACCCCACTGGAATTCGTGCAAACAGAAACCCAAACGAACCAGAAAACCATTGATGAGTCGACTCATGTGCATATATGAGTCGACTCATGACACATGGGTCGACTCATGACAGTCATGAGTCGACCGGTCAGAAACTTCTGACAAAACTACTGGGCTTCATGAGTCGA